TATCTCCTAAAAATATGTCAAGACAGGACTTGCCAACTTTCCATGTTCACTGTACTCAGAATATCTTTTATGGCTGAGTCTGAGAGGCTGCTTTTCCCATCAAATTGGCTAAAAAGGAAGGATTCTTTGTCTTCATTGGATTTGTAAAGAGCTTCAGTAATATTTGTTGAGGGTATATAAAATAAAATTAAAATTGGAAAGCACTGGATACCTTCTGTTTTCTTGCTTATTTTGACTTTCAGGTTTCAGAAGTTGATTCAGTAATTCAGTAATGCAAAAAGTCAGGCTTTTTGTTGTCTTTTGCATTTGTATACACAGCCTTATGTGTATGTATATGCACAAAACATTATTCATTAAGTCTTTATTATTTTGTTAGGCCCCTGAGTTGTTTACACCCGAGAGAGCTTGGAAGGCTCTGCAGATAGTAGAGGAGAAGCTTCTTGGTCCATTAGGCATGAAAACCTTGGACCCAGAGTAAGTACAGTAGAGATAAGATTAAGTGGTAATTCCTAAAGACAATAAACACAGCAGTAGGAATTATTTGATGTAGGGCAGGGGTGGTGATGGTGTGAAATTTTCAGTTATACCAATGAAATAAGGCTGGAGGAAGTGCTTCCAGAACAATTGTTTTGCCGTTCTAGAAGTCCATAATTGATTTCTTTATATTGGCAATGGCTGGGTGGTTTTGGATGCCTCACAGTAAGCAAGTCAAATTTGGTATCATACCAAAGATGTTGAATTTGCATCTTGGGATGTACAGTGTTTGTTACAGTATACAGAACTACAGTTTGAGTAAAAGTAACCTTAAAATTATGACTCTTTAGTCCTTTAAAGATGCTGACCATTTTCCTACAAATTTAAACTTTATTTGGAATTTCACTGTCATGTAAAGTACAGCACCAATTGGAGACCTCCCTAACTTAATCGTCACTAAATGTAAATGACAAGTTTTTTTTGTTAATTTCTGTTTTCCTTTTCTGTGTATCATTTTTAATTAAGATTTTGTTTGCATGATACATTTTTTATTTCTTGCAGTGATATGGTGTACTGTGGAGTCTATGATAATGCTCTTGACAATGACAACTACAATGTAGCCAAAGGGTTTAATTATCACCAAGGACCTGTAAGAGCTACTTCCTTCAATTTTAGAAAAAATGTAGTCATCTTTTCAAACCAGCTGCTTTGGTAATCATCTCTTTCATTCTTTTTTTAGGAATGGCTGTGGCCAATTGGATATTTTCTTCGTGCCAAACTTTATTTCTCGAGGTTGATTGGTCCAGAGATGTATGCAAAAACTGTAGTTATGATTAAGAATGTTCTTTCTCGCCACTATGTTCATCTTGAAAGGTAAGGTAACAGCAAACACAAATACAAAATATTCAAAATACCAAGCTAGTGGTATCTGCCATCCAATTCCATGTAAGAGTACAGATCTACTGTATAAACAGGATCTGTTTTCTAGATAGGAAAAGATATGTGCAATTGCAGGTCTCAAGTCACATTTCAAATACAGATGAGATCTAGTGCCTTTCACAGATTGCAGAATTCGTAATACTTATCCACGTGAATACTGGGTGAAATAAATCTTACACGAAAATTAGCATCTTATTTCATACAAGAAATCAGTTTCAGAAAAAATGTCAGTGATTTGGTTTTTTTTAAAAAAACAAAGTATTTAAAAACAAATTTTGTAAAACATAATAAAGGGTAAGTAGTGACAGATTAAAATTGCAGCAGATAAAATGACATGTTCATTTTTTTCCAATCTATAATCTAACAACAATACTCATTTCTGTTTTCTCTTATCAGATCGTCCTGGAAAGGACTTCCAGAACTAACTAATGAGAATGGGCAGTATTGTCCTTTTAGCTGTGAAACTCAGGCCTGGTCAATTGGTGTTATCCTTGAAATCCTTTATGACATGTAAAAGTTTATTTTGATTGATTTGGTGAAACTTCTGTGGTCTTACTAGTGGGCATAAATGAACACTTGGCTTACACTGCAAGGGAAATTAACTGTTCTGCACAATCATTTAAGTTGTGTCCTGACTTTCAGAGATGCTGAATGCCAGCAGCTTCTGTGCCCTATAACTGTGTGGGGCGGGCTTAAGTGTTTTGAAAATCAGGGCATGACAACAAAATAAAACTGCAGTGCACACTTGATGCAGCAACTTTTAGTAAGGAGCAATTTTAAGAATATGCACAAACTTAATTTTAAGTAGCTTTGGTTTTTTAACCTATTCAAAACAAAATCTTAATGTAACCAAGTAAATTTGCTCGTTCCTGAGCCAAAAACAAGTAGCACAGCTCTTATGTTTTTTTTTTCCTTCGTCTCTTAAAGAGTAAATGGATGTTTCTGCAAATGCATGCTTAAGAGGGAGTAGACTAACCTCTGACTTTCTAAGTTTGGTATGCTTTGTGCTCTAGCATCATGCATTAATGAGGGAATAATATGTTATCTCTCCATTGAACTGTATAATGGGGATTTTTTTGTATGTGTTCAATTGAACACTCCACTACACTAAGCAACCACAGAAATAAAGTGTGTGAATACTGTAATAAAACTACTTCTGAAGTTATATATAAAATTTTGAAAACTTCACTTTGAGAGTTAAGCTATAATGAGGTAACAGCTTATGTTAATCTGTCTTTAGATATATTTAAATACTATGATCCATATAGTAAACCTGTTTTTTCATTTATATCTGGTTTTCACCATGGGTAATTCAAAAGAAGTGTGCATACAATGCGCAGCCTATATGTTAGGGAAGTCCAAAATGCTTGGCTGCTTATTAAATTAATTTATTGAAGAGATAGGGTCACCTGAGCCCTTCTTTTCTGGGAAAATCCTAGCTCTATTAATCAGGTGGAAACAATACAATGGAAAGACGTAGTAGCCTACTATCACCGAGAAGAATATGAGGCTTTTGGGCCTTCTGAAATTGTACCAATAACAATAAGCATGCTGTGTGGTGTCCTTTGGGAACAATCCAGTGAATATGATGCAAAATGTCTTTTTTCATATTTGGATGCCTGCATGTCTTTATTAAGTTCAGGGTTCACAATCTGAGAGGAGAGCAGCTGATAATTTTCAAACTCTTCATGCAATTTTTCCATCCTAGTGCAATAAACAGGCAGAGAGTGGGGTTGACAACACTTCCCACATCACAAGGCAGAAAAGCAAAAGCACTATTTCTGAATGTTACTGAACATATTCTGTTAATTGTGCAAAAAATAAATACGGGATGTAATTATAATGCACTAAAACACAGATCAAGATTTTATGATGTCTGTATATTGAAGTTTCTGTATTCTGTCTAAAGTACAGTGCACACATGCTGTCTTGTTCAGGGAGATGTATTTCAGGTAGATACTGTAAGGGCAAGTTAACCAGTTCAGGAGGTGAATTGTAAGTGGCTATATTCATATCCTATTTGTTTGAAAGGTTAATAAGGATTTTAACTCCCTTGCTCAAGTGTTCAGTCCTTAGAAGTTAGGAAAGGTAATGTCTATATTATACCTGAACTTTTGAGCTGCAGTATATGGGTTGAATTTTTTTTATTTTCTCAACACAGTGCATAAGAAATGTCATTTGATCAAAAATGTTACTGAAATGTCAGCTACAGATTATTTTTTTAATATGCAAGAGGCATAGAAAGTATTTTTCATGCTGCACTGAACTTTCCAAAACTCTTGATTATTATATTGAGGTTTATGTCCTACTGTTTCACTAGCTTTACTGTTTTCCTGGATACTTATTTCTTGTGTATTATTTCAAGGTATGTTTTATGGCTCCTGTAACTTAGAAAGCAGGAACAAAATGGCAGAAAAAGAATTTTTTCTTACTTCATGAAAACATTTTAAAATTGAAAGTGAAGCTTAAGAGCTATAACTGTTGAAGATTTCCACCAGGTGTCAAAATTATATTAATTGGCAATGATAAATGTTGGGGAAAAAAAAAACATGAGAAATTTTTAATCTAAACCTTTCTATGCTATGTACAGATTGCTTTCCAGTTTTGCAACCTGCACTGCTGATAGACACTGCATATTTGTCACTGCTAGGGTTTTTCCTACTTTAATAGTAAAATTTGAAAGATAAATCACCACTGTATACACAAAAATACATATGCTATGAAACTTTTAAACATGCCCGTTTATAATGTTGCTTCTGCACTGATTTGTTGAGCATAGTTTTAGTGACAAATATTTTAAATAGGAAAAAATATGTATTGGTTGACTTTGCTGTTAAGTAGCAATAAAAGTAAGATTTAAGGTTATTAACTTTATGGGGGGGATGGTTTATTGGTTTTGGGGGTTTTCTTTTTTTTTTTTTTTTCCTCAAAAAGCTACTCAACACTTTGTCAAGCCAGTTTAAAAATGAAGAGGGAAGCAAACAATGTTGACTCTAACATAAAATGAGCTGATATCCATATAGATCAAGTCATTATCCCCTAAAAATAGCTGACTTATATTTACTGATCCTGAGCTGTATCATTATCATTTATATTTTATACTCAAAGACGTCTAGTAATGCAAGCTAATAATTGGTAAAATAGAAATAAACTAAATAACTCTGTAAGAACTGTGCATCCATTGTGTTCCAGTTGGTGCTTCTTGATCTATGTTATATTAAGAATTGATTTTCCTCCCAATTGAAATAATTTTAACTGTTACCAATGTTCACACAGTTAATAGCTCTTGATTTATTCAAAGATGATTAACTTGACAATTCAAGTAAACTAATGTATCATTCTCACACTGCATGTTGTAATGTAAAATGGAAACATGAGCTTTACATGTCTGTCTATCACACAACAACTGATTTTAAAAAATGTCATTATTCATTTCTGAAATGCACAAAATAAAACTCTTTAATTCAGAGTTAACCTTGTGGGGTTTTTTTAAAGTCAAACTTTTCAGCTGATGTTTCTTGTTCATTTCTTGCAATTTTACATAGAGATTGTTAACTTCTCAGGTTAAAATATGCTAACAACACTTAATAGAAAAACCATAAACTTGAGATTCTTATGTTGGTGTCAGTGTCAGCTGTCCTAGCTGAGTTTGAGTGGGTTTGGGTTAGCAGACCTTCTGCTATGAATACTTATCTAAGTTAAGTCATAGTATTGCGAATTCACCAAGACAACAGTCTTGATTAACTGATTTACAGATACCCAAGTGCTACAGTGATTAACTTTTGAGGTAAACATTCCTGTCACTGTGGAGAAGGCATTATCACTTTCCAGCTCTGGTTTGTAATATCGAGGTCTCACAGCACAGGTGCCTGGTATACATATATATGCATATACATGTGTATGTTTTGCATATATGTTTTGTACATATATATACATATATATGTTTTGCAATATCCTCATTTCATTCCATGCTTTATAAAAATAGGATTTTTTTTCTAGTTCTCTATTCAAGCATTTTGTTTAGGAAGAAGTTTATCATTCTATTGTATATACTTTTAATAAATATTCTATTGAAAAATGGGTAGGGAAGTGTAGAAATGACAAGTCCCTGAGTTGTTGGGGGGCGTTGGTAAGGTCAGAGCTGCCGCCTCAGCCCTCATGGCGCCTCAAGCAGCTCAGCCAGAACGGATGGATGAAATGTTACTGGTGACTGGCACGTTTCTCTTAAGCTGCTCTGGGGCTTGCAGATGGAGACGGGAAGCGCCTGCAGTCCGGACTCCGGAGCTCTGCCCGCGTTGCCGTGTGAGGTGAGGCGGGACCCCTCCAGAGCCCGCCGATCTCGGCACCAGAGAGCGCTTCCTCGGCCCGGCCGGGCGCCTCGGCGGGGCCCTCAGGGCGGCTCTGCGCGCACCGCCGGCTGAGGGCGGCTCGCCGCGCTCTCCTCAGGAAAACCGGGGCAACCTGCCCCAGCTGACAGCTTGTTTTCCTTTTTGAATGAGCCTGGAAACAAGTAACAAGGAATGTACTTGCCTGTGAGCATCTGGGGGTTTGTGCCAGCTTGGGAGCTGGTACACCTGTTGTTTAATGTAGCAGTACAAGGGAGATACCAGCTCTATTCGCATTCTATCAGATTTGCCTGTGCGTTTGGTATTTCTCAGAAGTTACTGACTAAATTAAAACAGAGCTTTCCCAATTCTGAATTTTACATCGAAGTGCAAGTGACCAAGTGGACCAATGGCCATTTTTAATGGGGAGTGTTGGTTCCAGAGCAGTGAAGGAGGCACTGAGTTGACTGTTAATAGTTTTAGCGATAGCTGTTTTCTACAGGGTCACATTCTGAAGTAGAATTAATGTGTAGTGGTACAAAGGTGAACCTGAGAATAATACTGAAAGCAGACTGTGGCTTGTCAGGTGGCAGTCTGAGCCATCTGTGCTGTTCCAGGCTCTTGTGTTTCTGTAAGCACTTGTCCAGTCCTGTTGGCCTGTGACACGTTTGTCTCACTGTGTACTACCTCCTTGAACCTGTTTCTCTCCGAAATCTTAATCTGTGCTGTGTGTCTGTTCTGTTTGCAACCTTTCAGCCACAGGCAGCTGTTCACCCTATGAATAATAATCTCAGCATATTACACAAAGTTCAGTACCACTGACTATATTTGACAAATAATAAATTCGTTCAATTCACATAAGCTTATGCAATGTCTGACATCCATGAGCACTTTCCTTCCCTTTGTATGCTGCAGCAATGTCTCAGTACAACTTCAGACAGAGAGACTGTGCTTCTATAGTGCCTTTTTGCAACGAGAATGAAAACTGGCCATGAAAGAAGATAATTATGCTGCAGCCTGGCAAGGGTCTTAATTTGGATAATGTGGACTCTAGATACTAAAGGAGGTAAGTTTTTTTAGAGTTCTGTATTTCTAAGTTCAAATAAATGGCAAATAAACTGGAGCTTAATTTTGTGTGGTGGTGAGAAACATAAGATGATGTCTTCAAATCAGTTCTAAAGGAAGATACTTGCAGTCTCATGATTTACAGACTGACAAGTACAATTATTTTAAAGCATGATGCTGTAGAGTAGGATTAAATTGTAATAGTGGGAGTCTTTTTTTAAGGTGATTTTTAGAGTTACAACCACATAATTTGAGAAAGCGGAATAATCTATTCTTTTGTGGGATACAATCAGGGGCTGTTTTTAAAATTTCTTTGTAATTGGTCTTATCGCCATTGTCTATAAGGGTCCTAGATGCATCCTAGACCTGGAGAGGGTACCTGTTTTAATAGTACGCAATGAGAAATCGGTTCCAAATGCAGGAGTAAGGCTCACAGCTGCTTGTGTACAGCCTAAAGAGCAGCCAAATAATGAGGTAGAGGTTTCTTAGTAAGAGCAGTCGTTGGAGGGCAATAGTGGGTTAAGTGTTGCCAACATGTGTTGCAGTACTATACCTAAGGAGAACTTGGGGTAGGATTTTGAGGTTAGTTAGTGTATAAATTTTGTGGTTATGACTGACTGATTAAAGTGTCAAGGATGGCATGTTAGAAGGGATCTTACTTGAATGTAAGATAATCCAGGGACTAGCACGATGGGCTGGAGGTGAACACCTCAGCAGAAAGCTGAGGATGATGGATGGGATAAGAATAGCGCAGCTCTTTATTGCAGACACAAATTAAAATTTCCAACGCGGCAGCAGAGGGTGGCGCACCTGGCCGCTGTGGCCCAGGCTGGGCCGGGCCGTTCGGCTCCCCACTCCCTTCAGGGCTCGGCATTTCTGCTCGGCTGCACTCGCTGTGCTGGCTTTTAACGGCTCAAGTCTCCATTCCCGCACGTCAAAATCATAACAAGTTTTTAAATGTTTGGAAAAAGTTTCATTAATCTATCCTCATGTGGGAGAAGTGGGAAAGGAATACATCTTTGGTGGTTTAGTGACAGCTTGATTTGTTAAAGGGATAACTGGAGCTAATGAGTCTTTCAGTATTAAAAGATCCAGTAATTTATGTCTCTGTTTTATTGCAAAGTTCAAGAATCTATTTATCTCCTAAAAAATGGGAAATGCTAGCATGTGAAACCAGGTGTATGTTAGGCATTTATTTATTATTTGCATAATAGTTCATTTAATGTTTCTGTAATTGCTGGCAATTTTTTTCTGTTTGCTTAAATGCTTTGTTTATGCACAAAATTTTAATGTGAAAACTGGAAATAATTCTGCCTGGGCAATCTTACACTATAATTGTGGGTATTTTAACTTAAGTATGTTGTTATATAGATTTTTTTTTTTATTTAGTGGCATTTATTGTGTGTTTAACAGGCTGCATTTTCTAGCAGTTATTCCACTTGTTGAAGCCGGATGGGAACACCCACATGTTCAAGATTTTGTAATTTGTAAAGTCTGTAATCAGATCTACTGGGACAGCTGTTCAAAAGCTGGTTTTGTTTTCTTGTAATGGCTATCTGGCTAGTACTGCTGGAGGTCTCCCTTCAGGCCTCTGGAGGGCCAGATTCATGTTTGGAACAGTTAGGTTACTGCAGAGCTTTTCCAAGGCCTCCAGGAACCATTTAGTTAAATTTAATAACCAGATGATGCTATCACCTGGATCAGAGTAAATCTAGAGTAATTTAATTTCTATGCCTTGAATAATTGCAGGTTTATTTTTGCATAATTTTTTCTTTAGACAGCTTATACACCTTCGCAAACACCAGTTAAAAGCATAAATCAGATGTAGATGCAATACAGTTGTTTATTCCAGGGTAGGAAGTCTGTACTGTGCTGGGGTTCGCAATAGATTCCTTGAAGCAGTTTCCCTCATGCAGAGAGATGTTTTGCCATCCTTGTAAGTACCTTTGCTGGAGTCTAACAAAACATACTTTAAATTCTGCTGTAGAATTTTGTGGTAGTATTCTACAAATTTGGTAGAATTTTGTACTTTGGATTTATCAAATCTGTGAACACATTCTCTTCAGGAATATTAAAAGCAAATAAAACCTAGTTGAGAATCAGGGGGCAGGGGGTGATAGTGGTAGTAGTAGACAGGTGTTCCTCTGGTTATTTCCATCATGTTTTCAAATAAGACCTTAAAAAAATGCCTTAAAAGCACTAGGATTTGGAAATTTGTACCTGCGTTATTAAAAACTCTTGTTTTGTCTGTGCTGGAAGATTGAGCAGAGAAGTCTGTAGGTTATAATATTTATAAAGTGAATGTTTATTAGTTTAGTAGCTAAGAACCCTTCAGTTAGGTAATTAAGCATTTCTTCCAAATTTCAGCAGATACTTTTTATTGGTTATGAAGTAATTGTTCTAAACTAAATATTGATGTTAAATGTCATCTTGCTTCCTATCTGTCTCCCTGATTTCATTTAACATAAAAGGCTCCAGTTAATTGTGGGGAATGGGTGTTTCTGTGTCTACTGCCATTCAAATTACAAAGCACTTCAATATTTCTTTAGAGAGAGAGCTGCAGTATAGCCCTTTCAAAAATAATCTCTTGGAGGGCAGAGCCCCAGTGTTTGAATTTTAACTTAATGTTTGACTGTCTGAAGAGCAACCCTAGTGCTTGGTGGTCAGTGAATCCTTCAGGAAAGTCAGAAATGGGGTGATGGTTGAGGACGGGTTATGACAGAAAGGGAGAAGGACTTCTAAGTGAACACCTAAGAGAGACAAGGAGGATGTTTCCTCACCTCTGGAGTGTTTCAAAGGGAGGAAGTTCTGATGTCTGGTGTGTCTGCATGCTGCAGCAAAAATGATGGACAAGGGGAAGTAGTTTACCCCAGTTTACCTCAGTCTGGGCCTCGGGGCTCCTCTGTATGACCCTGTGTTTCAGTGGAGCAGACAGCACAGCCACAGGGCTCTACTGCTGTTACATCAAAACACAACACTGCCCTGACCTGGAGTTCCAACCACTGAAGGGAAGAGCAGCTTGAGAAAGATAAATTTCCAAACTTATTTCAAGTATCACCTGGTTTTCACTTCTGAGCACTAGAAACTTTTTAAATATTGAAATCTCGTGGGGAGGAGAACTCCTGTAGAGACTGAAAAAGCATTTTTCACTTGGCTGAAATGAAAAATTAGCATTATTTTGTCAGCCCTATTTCCACTTCTTCAGCCAGTTCACTATGGTCTCTTAAAGTGGACTCAATTTCTCTATCGTTCATCCTTCTTCAGCATAGCTGAAATGCTACTGTGAATTTCACCCAAAAGTCATCAAAATCCCTGGAAATGTAAGTACTACATCAGACTCAAAGGTTTTATGCACTTGAATGTAACATTTTAAAGTCTTTTGATGTCATATACAGAGGTAACTCAGAATAATAATTGCTGTAATAGTATCTTTTGTCTCATAAATTTAATTCTCAGCGTACTCTATTTAATAATTTGCTATAATTATATACTCAATGTACTGCCAATAAATACACTCTTTCAACACATATCTGTTTGATGTATATATATTTGCAAACATGGGGGAAGCAGTAGAAGTCAAGGATACTTCATCTTTAGCATTTTTCACTATTAATGCTTTGTTACATACCATGTTACATTAAATTTCTTTTCAGGAAACCGACATGAGGATGCTTTGAAATAGGATGCTAAATAGTTGTGACAGGAATTAGCACACACTACTCACAGTTGTATGTTTTTCCTGTGCTAAAAATTTAAGGATTGCTCTGAATTAGCTGAAGGGGCATTGGCACAGCATGTAGGTGTCTCTGTGCCATTCTCTTACTTTCTTGGAAAACTGTAATTGCTGTATTCTCAGAACTTGTGCTAGCTTCAGAACGTGTGGAAAGTGGATGGCAGGTAGTACTACCTGGTAGACACACTTCTTTTTGGACAGTTTTGGTCTTTGTTTCTTGCTTGGTCATTTTCACTACCTTCACAATTAATCAGTAACTATTGTCTGCTGAAAATAAGAATGCTGCTAACCGAAATCCTACTTAGCTGAACCTGTCTTCTAAGCTAAGAACTACTGACTTTTCTGCCACTGTTGCATGTGATTTCTAAATGCTGCTTCCATTGCTGGGGGTACTATTAAAAGAGAAAAAACCCTCCTGTTGTTAACATATGGGTGAGGAGTAATGGGTCATAAATTTAGACAGTAGCAAGTTTAGCAGAGCACAGACATTTAAACACAGGAAGTCCAGGATTAGTTTCCCACCTGTACAGTGTTAATTCTGCCTGCTTATGTCACTCCCAGAGTGCCCCAGTAACAGTGATGTTTTGTCTGAGCACTGCCATCCTCAGGAGCTGCTTCCGTCTGCCCTGTTGTCAGGATCCACCTGTATGTGCTTCATCTGTAATCCCACTGTATGTGTGCCAGGGATTATACAGCACTTCACACCATGCCAAACCTCAGCAAGCTTTGCAGCAGGCCTGCGGGTCTGCTGGTGCATTTGCCTTTAGATTGCACTACCTATTGTTAAATATTTAGTTTATAAAAAATAAATACTTATCTCCTACAATTTACAGTTCCTTTGTTCTCACATCTGTCACATTACGTGTTTAGCCTTCAGAAAACCTCCCAGCCTATGCTGATGTCTGACCTAGCTGTACCCAACAGCCTTCTGGGCTCTGCTTCAAGCATGGTCTGCAGATTGCGTGCTGAAATGTGTCACAAAGGTTTCCAGAATAGTTCTTTCTTTGGATCATCATATGGTTTTATACAATAGAACAGCTCAAATATTCATTGAATGCCTTTGGAGATTTTATTCACCATGCCACGTTCTGCAGAAAATTACATGGCATATACGAACATATTCATGAAAGTTGTGTTTATATATTACTTCTACACAGGTTGATTTAAAAAAATATATATTCCATAATTTATATCTTTGGATGTGTAGACCACAGGTTTATCTACTACTCTTAAAAAATGTATTTCTATTAGTTACTGGAAGCCACATACTCCTACCTTTGTTTTACTTCCACATCAATAGAGAAAGCATTGGAAATATAAAA